CGCCAGAACTCGGCATCGCAAAGTTGTCTTGCTTGTTAGTATCTTGCCTGTTTAGGGGGGTGAAACCACAGCAGCCTCGGCATTGCCAAATCAGTGGTCACCTGCCTCGATCGAAATATCCACAACTCCGTAACTCCTCCTGCTACTGCCGCTGCTGCTGCTGCTGCTGCGCTCACGCCACACGGGTCTCGCACAGGGTGTCTTCGCAACTCCTCGTCCTCGTCCTCCTCCTGCTTCTTTCAACGTTAGGCAAGCTTAGATCGGCTGGGCCCCGTGCTCTCAGCCTCCTCCTCCTCCTCCTCCTCCTCCTCCTCCTCCTCCTCCTCCTCCTCCTCCTCCTCCTCCTCCTCCTCCTCCTCCTCCTCATGCTCCTCCCCCTCCTCCGCCTCCGTGCCGGGGTGGGGGCTTCCGCAACCGAAGGCACCATCTCGGCGATGTTCCACAGCGTCATCGCTGCCTGCGGCACGCCCGGGCCCCACGCGCCACATCGGCTGTGGGCAGCGGCGGCGAGACGACGGAGGCGGGTCGGGGGAGACAGCGGGGGTAGACCGAGGAGCATGAGGAGGAGGAGGAGGAGGAGGAGACCGAGGGGGACGAGGAGGAGGACGACGACGACGACGAAGCCGGCGACGAGGCACAAGACGATGGACGCCTCAAACTCGGCCGTGCTGTCTTCGGAGCGACGAACCTGCGCCTCGCCCTCTGGCCGCGAGCGCGGTGCGCTCGCAGCCGGCCTCCAGCGCGGGACGGCAGGACCACGGTGGCCATGCCTCAACGGCCCGTGGTGCTCTCGGAATCTCTACTGATAGGCCGGGCACGTCCCCCTTCGGGCGGGTTTTGGACGAAAACAAAAAATGCTACGCGTCAAAACCATGGAGCCCTACGACATCATCTTGGCACCGCATTACCATCTATTAACGTCCATTACCGCCCATTACCGCCTATTGCCGTTCGCCCCCATTTGTTGTTACTCCCCCTACGTTCTGCTTCCCAACGCATTTTTCGGGGCCCCTACCTCTGCCCCTCACCTTTTTTGCATATCGCATTTTCAATGCTACATAAAATGAGTTTAACAAATAGCCAAAAATAATCAAAAATCGTCCCCAGAGTATTTTTTGTTACTGCCTTTGAATGTACCTCCTGTCGAGGGACACGCCCGACTTAACGCTGCTGGCGGCGCGCACTATGAGACGAAGCCAGGACGAGGATAAAATCGGGTGAGGACCAATCGAGAACCTCTTAGATCCGGCAGCTCTGGAGAATGTCTTGGGCACGGCGGCCTTCTCAGCGGGATCCGGAACGCTCTGAGAGCGTTCCCGAACGCTCTGGAATGGATTTATCCTCGTTCTAGCCCCGTCCGACACGAGGGGGTAGGGGGAGAGGGGAAGGCTTCCTAGAAACACCATGCTTCTCAGAAAGCGCGGGCCTTTTCTGTGTGTAAATCTATATAGATGTACAAAGGCCAGCGCCTTCTAAGAAGCGGCCTCCAAGAAGCCGTACCCCCTCCCCCTACCCCGTTGCGCGCGCCGCCAACTCTCAGGAGGGGAGAAAACAAAAAACAAAAAAAAAAAAAAAAACGTCGATCCCCACGGAAATACGAATAATGGAAAATATGGGAAGCGGGCGGGGGGAAGACGAAAACCCAGAAAATCTGGGAAACCACGGGGAACTCTGGGATTTGAGTATCTGCTTGTGTGTCCCAGGGCCCCTTCAAACTCTGGCTGCCATGGATGCGTAGCCCTGCCCCGGACGCGCAGCACGTGCGGCCTCCGGGCTGCCTCCGGCCCCGAGGCGGGCCCGACCGGACCTGGGCCACACCGCCAGAGAGGCCAGGCGAGCGCCGCCGCCTCCGGGGTCGGGGCCCCTCTCTCGATGGGTCCGTAGTGGGACGCACAGAGACATACTGATACGAGATGTCCTCCTTGGAGGCGCGCGTCCGACCCGAACATGGAGTGTACCCATCTTGTAGCAGATCGTTTCCCGAGCGGTGTGGCCAGAAGGCGCCCGCCACGACGCACATGCTTGAAGGGGCCCTGGGACACACCAATAAATAGATACAGATAACAGGATCCCCCATGTTTCCCCATATCTTCTGGGTTTCTGTCTTCCCCCCCCACTTCCCATATTTTCCCGTACTTTTCTGGGAGTCGACGATTAAATGTGTCTGTGAGTTGTCGTCCCCTCCTGAATACTATGTAAGTTAGGGTGAGGCCGCTCCGCCTCCGGCCTCGGGGCCCCTCCCTCGAGGGGTCTGCAGGGCCCCTCCGGCGCGAGCGGAGCCGAGGGCGACTCCTTTTTTTTTGTTCGACCATCCCCCGCTGAAAGGTTCAGGCTCGTGATGTTAGGAGGCAACTACTGGGAGGTTTTCGTCGGAAAGACTGGGGATTGAGCCCCATTTGGGAGCTGTTGCGCCGGAGTGGGTCTCGGACCAAGCAGGAGTACGCCAGATTGAGCGGGATTGAGCCGGATTAAGCGGGATTAAGCGGGATTAAGCCCGATTACGCCGGACTTCGGACCAGGGCAAAACCAGAATTTGACCTCCCAGGAGTTGCATCCGAAGTGATAGTCCCAACGGCCTCGAGTCCCAGGGGTTCTCGACGGCACTACCACGAAGCCGCGCTCGCCCAGAGCCGAGCGCGACGTCGTGGCTGAAGGGCCGGTGGGAACGGCGCTCCGGCAGGCTGCACCGTCGCTCCGTCGTCGTCCGTGCCTCCGGTCTGGGAGAGCGGCGGCGGGGCCCCCTCGGGGCGGAGCCCAGCGTGGGAAGGTCGGAGCGGACGTCCCCTGCTGCAGGGCTCCCCGAGGAACCCGCCGATGCGCGTCGTCACAAACTGCTCGCGCGGCCCCGCGGCGAGATGCCCCGTCGGGCTCTTTTCTGCGAGAGGAGCGGAGGAAAAATTCGCACGCGGGCGGGAGCCCGTTGGCCGACCGGAGCGGGGGGGGACTTCGAGCGGGCATGGACAGACAAGAGGTCTTTTGAGGGGGTCCCGGGACGGGGTCTGCGATGGGGTGCACGGCTTCCTTCTTCTCTGACGCGACTCCAGAGGCCTAGACTGCAGGTCGATCGAACTCTATGTAGTATTTATCCGGGGCGGCCAAGAGGGGGGCGTCCATGAGGGGAGGGCACAAATCGTGGCCGGCGGCATGTGCGCGGCCCAAGGGGGGGCCAGGGACACAATGAAATAGGAAGAGGCGCCAAAAACTTGGCCCACGCAATGATTTCCACCCCCCCCCCCTGTCATCACCCCCCTCTTTGCCGCCCCCGAATTTAGAGTGCTGGCCGCTTCCCTTGGGGCTTCGTGCAGGGCAGCGGCTTCCGCACCGAGCGCTTATATGCACAGTGCCGCTGCTGCGCGGATCGCAAGCACCCAAGAGATGGCCCCAGGGAGTGCCCCCCTAGAGGGCCCCAAGGGAGCCCGAAGTCCTCCAAACGAGAACCTCAAGCAGGGAACGAACACTGACCTAAACATAAAAACTCGGAGGTCCGTGTGGATTTCTCGGATCCGCGCTGGACACCCCTGGCGGCGCCTCCAGCACCGCCCCTGGCGCGCTTCGCGCGCCAGGGAGGGGGTCAAGCGCCGATCCGAGCAATTCGCGCGGACCTCCGAGTTTTTACGTTCATGTCATTGTTCGCTCCGCTACTCAAGAGAGGCCCAGGATGGCTCCATGAGACTGCAGGTCCCAGAAGGCCCCGAATTGAAAATCGGGGACCCTGGTGCTGATCCATATTATGGCTTGGCTAGTGTCCCCCGCCTTGTGTCAGTACGGCTACCTGATGCTCCTTCTCACGACAAATCGATCGCTTGTGGGTTCACAAAAAGTAAAGCGTCAGGAACTGCTCATGAGTCATGAGTTCAACGCGAATGAAATGTGAGGCGAGTGCTTGCAAAGTGCGAGTCACTCGAGGACCCGAGTTGTGCCACTGGCGTTCCAATTGCGCACTAGATGTTGATCAAATGTAGCATGAGGTTGGTCGAATGCGGAATGAATTGTGAACCACGTACAAATCGGATGGTGATGACTTGGAACTCGATCAAAGAGCGAATCCTACAGGAATCCCCTTAGGGAGCAACCGTGTATCGATGGATGATTGAGCCTATTGTACAACGATCGCGAAACGAAGATCGAATGAGTATGAACCAGCTGGCATGAGGTGACAGCCACATGTGCACCTGTCATGTCAAAGCGTTATCCAAATACGAATTCGATATGCCTGAAGCAAGGATGATATGCTAATGGACGTGAATGCATTCCGATGCGAAATGTAAATATGATGAGAGACCGTTGACGACAGGCACAAATCGAATGTCAGTCACGAGCGATTCAAATGAGAAGGTAGTAAGAGGAAGGCGATGAGGGTCGAGCAGACATGTAGACTAGGCAGTGTGCTTGTGAGACTAGCCAGTCGTGACGCAAACGTAGGTTGAAATATAAAACATCCCCATCCCAAACCTCCCCTTTGGCCACAAGCTGCTTGCACACACAATCTCAACCTTCCCCCCCGCGCACGAGATGAAGGAGAGAGACGAGGGAGGAATACGGCTAATTCCCGTCGTGTCGACGTGGACGTTAGTTTCTGGCACCGCATACATCGTTCAAGATTCTGCAAAAACTCAATGTGTCGACCGCAGAGACCGTCCCAAGGTTGAGCTAGCCCTGGACGCCGGCGGCCTTCCGCTTGGAGCGCACGCGCCAACGTCGCCGTCGGCCCGACTTGCGTCCGCGACGAAGACGTAGACTGCTCGCGAGTCGACCGGGAACCCTGCGCACGTTCCGTCGGCTCGGCGAGGCACGGAGGGCTGGCGTCGAGCAGCTCCGCGGCCGCGGCCCTGCTCCAGCCCCTGGCGAGCAAAGGGCCCCGGGAGGAGGAGGAGGAGAAGGAGGAGGAGGAGGAGGAGGAGGAGAAGGAGGAGGACTGGGAGGCGGGGGGCCGGGCGGCAGGCCAGGGGGGGCCTGCACGTGCTGCAGCGCGGCGTACGCGAAGGCCGTCTGGTCCGTGGTCACCCCCGCGTCTGGCGCCCCCGGCAGGAGGGGACGAGGATTAGGTCGAGCATGTGCCCCTGCAGCGGACTTTTGGACGAAGAATCAAAGTGCTCTGAACATGCTCAAGAATAGTCGGGAAAAAATAGAAAATCCTCCCCATACAATCTTTCTACTATTTTTGAACATTCCTCCTGTAGAGGGACATGCCCGACTTAAGACGAGGAAGGAGAGGAAGGAGAGTAAGACGAAGCTAAGAAGAAGATAACATCGGGTGCGGGTAAATCAAGAATCTCTGAGATCCAGCGGATCTGGGGGATGTACCAGGCGCCGCGGCCCTCTCAGAGCGTTCCGGAACGCTCTGAGAGCGTTCCGGAACGCTCTGAGAGCGTTCTGGAACGCTCCGAAGCGGACTCATCCTCGTCGGAGCCCCACCCGAAGGAAGGAGACGGCTCGACGGCATCCCACGGACTGGAAAAACGCGTCGCTCCACCCTCCCACCCCAGAGTGGAACTGTTGACCTCATCTGTCAATGTTGAGGCCGAACCGATGTGCAAGGGTTCTCCGGGACCCTGGACGTGGCTAAAACGCCCGTGGTAGGTTCCTCACGACACCCATCACGACTCCCATATGTCAGGGAAGGGGAAATCGGGAAGGAAGAAGTGGAGGAAGAACAAAGCGGAGGGGCCCTCAACACATCCTGCTGGTGTGGGCGATGCCTCGCTCTCAGGAGGAGGAGGAGGAGGAGGAGGAGGAGGAGGAGGAGGAGTGAGGGAGGAGGAGGAGGAGGAAAGGAAAGGAAAAGGAGAGGGAGGAGGAGGAGGAAGAGGAGGAGGAGGGCTGGGAGGAGGAGGGGAAGGAAGTGCATCCCACGCTGCGGCTGTAATTACTGCCAAACAACGCGTGGCCAGCGTGAGACCGCGTTACCCTCGCCCCACAGCCGCCTTACCCTCCCTGAAGTCCTCCTCGGCCCTCGTCTCTCCACTGCTCGCGTCCATTCCCGCTGGCCCTCCTCATCTTCCCTGACGGCCCTGAGATCTGGGCATTGCAATTCTTGCACACAGCGCGTTTGCGCCCGGTTTCGGGCCCTGGGACCATCGCAAATCGATCCGGATCGGAAAGTGGAGCAGACAAATGGGGTCTGGGGCTCAGGTCGTGATTTTGCGCGGCGCTGCCACTTTTCGCACAGCCGGATCTCAGGGGGGGGGGGACAAGGGAGCTCCATGCCCTCTCTCCAACGCCCCGCCTGAGGCTGCCATCGTGCAGCCACCGCACCTGTCGGCGGTCGGCGATTGACGCGGCGCCGAGCTGGCTGGCAGAGCCCCTGCGAGCTCCACCACTGCGTGCTGCGGCCGCTTCCCCGCGAGTCCTCGGAGCAGGGCGGCGAGGATACGACGATTTGACCACGGCGCGACAGGCTCGCTGGGATGCGCGGCAAGGATTTCAGGGACCTTGGACGCCCGCCTAGAGTCCTTAGAGTCCGAAGATGCAAGCGCGGAAAGGTGCCCGATAGAAAAATACTCAGCCATGTGATCCTGTATGACTGTATAGACGGAAATGCGAGAACCATTGTCAGGGGCATCAAGATCAGCACGATCATCACCATCGTCATAGATGCGCATGGTCATGTTTGTCCCCCTCCTCTTCCCGTCACCACTCGTTCCCTCTCTCCGTCCTCGCGTCTCGCCGAACGCTTCTACCGAAGCGTACAGTACCACGCTGGAAGTATTCCACCGATGCACGGACGGAAAGCGCGTGGTTCTTCACATCTGACCCTCTTCCCCTTAACGCCGAGCACGTTTCTTCTCGAAGCTCCCGACAACTACGCGGATATAAAGGGCAGGTCGTCGTCGAAATCCGCCTCTCACCCTACTTTCCCCTCCGACAAACACACACACACACACAAACACAGACACAAGCATGGAGAGCGGAACGCTTTCGAAGTGTGGTTCGCGCGTCGGCGCCGCGTGCATTCGTCGTCACGGTCTTCATCGGACAACTCCGATATGCGCCTCTCTTCTTCGCGCCGCGCAAGTTGCATTACGGAATGGCTCTCGCATGAGATTATCTCTCTATTGCTCTCACAAGTACAGCTATATAGTTGCAAAGCTGTTTAGCAGCTCCAAAGATGGGGGGATCGCTCGATTCCAAAATCCAGGTACCGCCTAAGGTTTCGACTGCCCCTGATTACATTATGGCGCTGGTCTGTAGCTTCCGTCAATGGATTTTACCCAAATCTGAGAATATCCCTGGACGAAGGTAACTTGCAGGATGCTTCCTGTCCGCTGCCACAGAAATCCCAAGAACCAAAGAATTCGGCGACGCGGCGTAAGCCACCAAACCGACCGAAAAACGAAAAGGTGACTGCAGGGCTACCTGACAACATGAAGTCCTCGACGTGTAGTAGTCCCGAAGCTCCGACTACGACACTGATGGGGTGCACACTAGCACACTGATGGGGCAGACTTTGGAGGAAAAATAGAAAATTGTCAAAAATGCTCCAAACTACTCAAACATAGCCAACAAAAATCGTCTCCTTGTTTCACTATTTTCGAACATTCCTCATGTAGAGGGACAAGCCCAACTTAAGACTACTGCACCGATGGCGCGCACGCAAACCCCGTACGGTAAGGATGCGCGGTAAGGATGCACGGGCCTTGGAGGGCCACGTTCACGTTTTTCGAGCGAGATTGGCCAGCGAAAGCGGCCAAGGATGGACCGAGGAGGCAAGGATGCAAGGGAACCCTTGGTAAGGTTGCCCATCCCATCCTTACTATGCGGGTTGACTGTAACTTCTACCGCCGCTCCTGCGTCGGGACCTAATGTCCTTTACAAGCCCATGCTCCCCTCCAACGGCAGAGGGACGTCACCATAGCCAAACCTAGACTGGGCTGCAAGCTGGCCGAATTCTGCAACCGGGGCGCAGCGACCGGGTGGCTGCGATGGGGCGAGCGCGTCCAGGGCAGGCACCCGAGGCGGGCGAGCGGGCGAACTGCGCGTACAGCGCGTAGACTTCTAAAAACAAATAATACACATATATATATATATATGTATAGATGTGTATACATAAATATGATAAGTTTCGATAAGAAGCCCCCCACCAACAAAAAAAAAAAAAAAAAAAAAAACGTCAGAGCTCGCAAGGTCCGAGTGGTGGCGGAGAGGCGACCATGTCAAACGAGCACACACGCACGGGGTTCACACCCTGCCCCTGCAGGTTCGCGGGGTTCTCCCACCGTTCCAGCAGGCGACCGCAGCGGCGAAGCAAGATGCTTCTGCTGGTCCTACTCCTCCTCCTCTTCCTCCTCCTCCTCTGCGGGGTCGTGGGACGGAGAGGACAATCCCAGGTGTGAAAACAAAGCGCGCAAGAGCGAGGGGAGGCTGGCATACAGACATAAGGGGGCGCCAAGCACACACTTGCACCAATCCGTGGCCCAGCATCGGTTGGCACGCCCTCCAGGGTCGGCGAGGAAGGCGTACAAGCACCGATCCTGAACCCAAGATCAGCCTTGCCACCGTGCCAGGATAGGTCAGGTGCATACTTGGTGCGCTCTGGATATATATATATATATATATATATATATATATATATATATATACATATATATATGTGTGTATATATACATACACACATATATATACATACACACAGACAGCCAGACAGACAGGCAGACAGACAGAAATGCCTACCTACCTACCGACCTATCTAGTTACCTCCATACACACATGCATGCATGTATACATACATACATGCATGCATGCATACGTACCTACCTACCTATCTACCTACATACATACATACATACATACATGTATGCATACATGCATACATGCATACATGCATACATACACATGTATGCATACATACATGCATGCATGCATACATGAATACCTGCATACATACATACATACATACATACATACATACATACATACATACATACAGACATACATACATACATACTGATCTACAGCCATACATGCATGCATGCGTACATACATACGCTCGCACCTACCTACCTACCGACCGACCATCCGAGCTACCTACGTATGACGTACGTACGTACGTACGTACGTACACGCATACATACACACATACATTCATGCAGACATGCATACATGTATGCATGCATACGCGCATCCATACATACATACATACATACATATATACATACATACATACATACATACATACATACATACATACATACATACATACATACATACATACATACATACATACGCACACACACAGACATACATACATGCATAAATACATACATGCATACATACATACATTCATTCATACATACATACATACATACATACATACATATGCATGCATAATTACATACAGTATACAAACATACAGTCATACATACATAAGTGTATACATTCATACATGCATACAGGCATGCATACCTATGTATATATACATGCATACATACATACATACATCGATACATACGTGCATTACATTGATAGATACACACGTGCATGCATGCATGCGCGAATGTGCACATACATACATAAAAGTATACACATATGCTTACATACATACATACATACATACATACATGCATGCATGCATGTATAAATGCATACAGACGAACATGAATACATGCATGAATACATGCATACATGCATGCATGCATATCTGCATACACTTGTGTATTTAAATGCATAACAACGTAGAAGATGAACAACAAGACAACATAAGTAGCAACTTTCGAAGGTCCACGCGGATCTCTTGGGTCGGCGCTGGACACCGATTCCTCTGGCGCGCGGAGTCCGCCAGGGGCAGCGCCGGAGGCGCCGCCCACGGAGGTCCGGTGCCGATTCTGAAAACTCGCGCAGAGCTCCAAAAGTTTATCCGAGGCGCCACGCCCTTGTGCACGCACAGCTGCACCTGACGCGTATAGCCTGGTAGGATCAGGCTGCAGGTTGGGTGCAGGGGCAGGGGCAGGCATGCTGGGCAGCAGGTCGGGCACGCTGGACCAGGGCTGCCCATCCGCCCCGCTTCGCTCCCTCTGGGCGCGCACGTGGCCGCGTGCGCGCCTGAGCGGGCGTCCCGCCTCGTCGGCGGGACGCCCGGCTGGCGCCAGCAAGACGGGTGCCGGCGCGGCGGACTGCACGGGTCGGCTCCTGCGAGGGCGGGAGAGCTTCCGAGGAGGCAGTCGGGGCTACTCAGACGCCCGAGGGCCCTTCCCAGGAGGCCCTCTAAGCCTTCAAGCAGCCCCGCGGCCTGCAAGCAAGCCAACCCCCTCGCGCTGCCAAGAGGTCCGATGTCTCGATCTGTTCGGTGCGGGGTCCCAAGAAGTCTCGACTCCTTTCGGCTGCACGTAAGAGTGACCCTGGGCAAGAGTGACCTTGGGTACGCGGCTTTTTGGGGGGCGCGAGGAGGCCAAACACAAGTGCGCAAGACGCTACTATCGCAACGAGCGCGGCGATCGGGGGACCCCAATGAGCGCGCACCAAAGGTCACTCCGGCGAAGGGTCACTCTTACGTGTGGTCCTTCCCTGGGACGGGCTTCTCATCCCGAGTGGACGTTCGACGCTCCCGGGGCCCAGCGAAGACCTCCCGAGGCCGAAGAGGGCCAAAAAAACCTCCCACCGCGACTCTTCGACGACGCGAAAAATGTCTGGGCCCTTGCGCGCGAGGCCGACAGAAGCGGCGGGCAGCCACGCGCCCTCCTCTGGGACGCAGAAAGTTCAAACTGTATGCCCTCCTTGGAGGCGTGCGTCCGACCAGACCAGCTAGTCCAAGCATCTTGCAGTTGTGGGTGCCATGACAGTGGAAACCCCAAGAGTTCTATCATTGAATGAAACATGTACATAAAAAGTCTGACAGTGTTCAAAAATGTTTGAAACATGTGTTTATCATGTTCAAGACATGCTCAAAATCTTTTTCAGACATCTGGAAGTGATTGGCAACACGCTTCCTCTCCATTGATCGTCGTCCACCATGTTGTAGTGTATCATTTCCCCAGCAGTACGGCCAAAAAATCGGCTGACAACGAGCATGTGCTATAGGACTTCTCAGTGCGCGCGTCGCCCCTGGGGTACAGACGCACCCATAGCACTTCGGTATCGAGCGAAGGGGGGAAGTGAGAAGGAGGACGCCTTCTCAGAAAGCGGCCGAGCTTCTCAAGGCCCTCGGGCCTTCTGAGAAGCTTCCTGTGTCCCCAGGGAAGGCTCAGAAAACTTCTCACAAGCGGGTGGACTTCCGAGCCTTCTGAGAAGGCCCGCCCCTTCTGCCTTAGCCCTGTGGGCGCGCCGCCGAATCCAGTCCTTCGGGTCCTGATTCGCACCTTCGGCGGCCGTTGGGGACGATCCGGACACACCCCCAAAGAACGCTCCCGGCGAGGCGCAGCTCCTGGAACGCCCCCCGAGGCCGGAAAGAACCTCCTGGAGCCCGCAGAGGCGCCAGGAGACGCCCCCGGGCGCGCCACCGAGCATCAGGGTGTTTGGGTGATGCCGATCCTCAGCTGTCTGCTGCTTCCCGGCCGGGCGGGGCCGAGGCAGAAGAGAGGAGAAGCGCTGGGAGAGGACCGAGGATCGAGGATCGAGGAGCGAGGGTCGAGGGTCGTGGGTGGAGGATCGAGAGTCGAGGACCGAGGATGTTTGGGTGATGCCGATCCTCGGCCGTCTGCTGCTTCGCGGCAGGGCTGTTCGCGACGCTCCGGCAGGGCGGGCCGCTCTGCGGCATCGCTGGC